ACATCCTTAAGACTAACTGAGATCACTTCGGGAGTAGGTTGTAAATAGAAAAGAGAGAAGATCCAAAGACTGAACCCTGGGGCACTCCTGTTTTTAGAGATCAGGAATATAAGGAGGACCTAGAAGAGAGAACTGAGGAGTGGCCAGGGAGGTAGGAGAAAGTAAGGGGAGTGCAAAGCCAAGTGAAGAAAAGTATTTCAATTAAGGAGGGTGATTATGCTGTCAAACTGCTAAGAGGTCAAATGAAACGTGGACTGAGGATTGACCGTTGGCTTTGGTAACGTGGAAATCACTGGTAATCTTGGCAAAGAGATTTCCAGAGTGTGGTGACTGTATTCTTCAACTCATTCCTTTGGGTCCTGGCTGTCCCTGGGTCCTGGCTGCGTCACCTCTAGCCCCCTCGGGATTGAGAAGATCACATTGGCTTAACTGGCTTGGTTTTTGTCATTACACATGATGTGGAACCTTTTGTCAAATGTTTTCTGCTGACAGAATTTGTAAGAGAATGCCAGCTATCTTTCTAGTGTTTGAATTTGCTAAACAGCTCCAATAGAGGAACAATATCTGTACTATAATGTTTGATCCTAAACATACTTTTAAAAATTCCATTTATAATGGAGCTTGTTTATGTAGAGTTTTCATGAGAAATTTAAATGTGAAATTTAAAGATAGGCCAAGGTAGGCAAGATCCATTGGTAAGCAAGAGGGAAATACTCATCTGTGAACCTAAGTACACATGCCTTAGATGAAGAGGGTTTGCTTGGTTGGGTTTTCAAAACTTTTTGAGGGATTAAAACAAAGCAAAATTCATATGAAAAAGGGAGGCGTGAAAACTGCTCCTACGTTAAAACCATGCTACTTCTAAGTCCACTTAATGATTGTTCAGAGATAAAACATTTGCTTTATTGTTTTGCTCTTTTAAAAAAAATAGTTTGGGTAAAACTGAAACTGTGCTGATTATATGCATATAAATCCTGGGCCTGTTTGTCTTTACAGCCCTTCAGCATTCATTGCCTGCTCTGCTCTGCATCTTTGGGGATGATGCATGCAGGCTCTCTGTCACAAGCTCTGTGTTAGCGGCAAGTGGCTGGAGGTTCGAGGTAAGGGGATTCTCCTTCCACTCTCTGCCTAGGCAGCCTCCCTAAGTAGCCCTTGTACCTCCTCTGTGGCTCTGACTCCTTCCAGCCCTGGTTTTAGCTTCCACCAGCCTTAGGAGAGAAGCAGCTATTGCTGCCAAACTGTGGGTCACCTCACTCTCCCCTGTTTGTTTCCTTAGCTCTTCCACTACCTCCGTAACTATTGCTCAGAATTCAGTTTCCTTGGGTGATAACTCTTCTGGTTGGATCCTGACACATTATAGCTGTGTTTCCCTCTTCCTCCCTGATGTCAATTTCTAATGCCCAAATATGTAACTAAACAACTTTATCCCACTGCTTCCTGATTATAACAGGAAGGAGGAGTTGGGTTTATGGAATTCTGCAGATCTTTCAGACCTCTCCTGCGTAGTGGTTAAAACCACGGGCTCTGGCATGAAACAGGCCTGGTGTTGACTCCCAGCTCCTATGTCACTTGCTAGCTATGTGGTCATTCACAAGTTCTCTAGGATATCTCTAAACCCGGTTCCTTATCTATGATACGGGGGTGACACTTTGTCTACTTCATATGGTTATAATGATTGAATAGAATAATATGCTTAAAGTACTCAGGACAGTATTTATACATTATAAGTTTTCTGTAAAGGAGGCAATTATCAACTACAAAGTCTCCCCTTTTTTATAACGTAAGCCTTTGCAGTTGGTAGTATTCAAGTCACGAGCTAGATGTGAAGTGAGAACAACCATTTGCTGGTGTTTTATCCTCAGAGGGTACTAACCTAAATCGGTCACTTGCAGGGTCAGGATGTACTAGTTGGGCTGAAAGGTGATGTAGTAAAGTATCCTTGTGTTACTACACATGAGGCCTTGCTGTGGCACTCACCTTCCTTTTGGCCTTGTTCTCCAACATTGAACCTATAGTTATTCCAGAGTAACATACAGCAAGGTAAGAGCAGGGCTGGTTGTTATAATTATCAATTGATAGATCAGTTCTCCTGCTCTTAGGCTAGAATTGGAGGATTAGTTGGACCAGGCTTAATGACTTCTGTCCTTATGCTTTTCACTCTCTCTCTGTTCTCTCCTGCCCTCTTTCTTTTCTGAAAGGTCAGAATAATTCCCAGCATCTTCATAAAACTTTTTCTGATTATTTCAAACAAATTGTGTTTGCGGTGGTATACATCTAATCTCCAGGCCCCCAAGCAAAATTTCACAAAGACCCCCCCCCCTCCAGGCTCTTTATCCAAAGAACACCCTGCCACGCAGCCTCTGGCACTCTTGATTTGCGGGAGTTCAAGCACTGTGGGGCGGCTGCGGCTGTACCTTTCTTTGGCTTAAGACCGGTTTCATTAACAAGCATGTTCACACTTCAACTGGAACATTTAAAATAACACCCACACAATGTGTTTAGTGTCTAGTTAATTATTAAGTCTCTGAGCTTGAATTATTCAAGCAAAATTGATTGGGTTCAACCTTCTTCCTTCTCTTTGTGCTTTTTTTACAAAAAAATAAAAATAAGTTCTCCCCTTTACTCTCCAAATAATGTGGAAAAGGTTATTAAGCAATCATCAATACCCTGGATTGTGGGTGGTACCCAAGTGCTCACAGAATAGGTAGAGAGAGGTCTGGCAGCATGACTCTTTTGTTAAAAAAACATATCTGTAACTGTTAATTAGCATTTATTGAGACTCAACATGTTTCAGGTTCTCGCTTTTAAACTCTTCTTTACAGTTATTTACAAGTTGGATAAGTAGGTATCTTGGAGCCAGCTCTGTGGTGTAAAAAGCAGAAGAAATTGCTTCTTTCTTTGCTACCTCAACTCACGGTCAAATGAAAGTGTGAATCTTGGCTTCACTATTAAAATCATGTTGATGAATATGTGTTGGCCTAAAAAAAATGTTCATAATACATTGCTAAGTGAAAACAGGAGACTATAAAACTGTCTTTTATTATGTATCATTTTGTTAACATACATAGGAAAGAAACTTGACTAATAAACACCAAAATATTATTACCTGTGATAGGATTAAACTTTTCTTTTTGCTTTTCTATTACTTTTATAATTAGACAACACACACACACAAAGATGTCACGGCTAGAAATGATCCATCTTTTGTCTGAGTCTGTGTAAGTGTCACTCATTTGTCAATAGCTCATTGGAAATAACGCTGTGGTTATTTTGGTTATTTAAGCCACGTCAAGTGTAGATTTCACAAAAGATTCACAAAAAAATTGTGAATGACAGCAACTTGAATAATTAATGTTAGCCTTCATGTTTAGACTTCATTTCTAGATCTTCATTTCTAGTTCTTGCTTAGCTTTCATATTAGTAAGATGTAAAAAACGCCATTGTGAGCATTAATTTTGAAAAACAAAACTGCCCCACGGGTGTAGGAAAGGAATATAATTGTATTTTGGAGAAAAGATTATTACGGAGATGGCAGTTGTGAGAAGAAATGACAGAAATTCAGTGACCCAGTTTAGTGATGTATTTAAATGTGGGCTCTTCCTTAAGAAATCTGTAGACAGCTCTCCTAAAACCAAGATTCAAAAAAACCTGGAGGGCCCAACATGCATCAGGAGCTGTACCTATAGAACGACTTGCCTTTGCTACCCAGTTTCTGCATTGTGCCGCTGGGTTTTGTGTGCACGCGCGCGAGCGCGAACAGGGGATGGACTTTGATGATAGTGGCGAACCGTCTAGACTCCCCTTCATTGGCTGAATTCCTCGTAGGTGGTAACCTTGGCTGGGGATAAACAGGCAACAGCTAGAATAGTTCCCGAGGAGGAAACCCTGTGCTCCACGGACGGAAACTTTTGGGAATAGACATGGGGAATTCTGTCCTTCTCGCAAACACTCAGGACTTGGAGGGTAGCGCGTACAAGTCTGTCACTGTATTTGTCCTGGGAAATGACACAAGAAGTGGTGTAATTGGACACCCAGGAAATTATTACTTAGGAGTGCTTGAGAACTGAATGTGGGGGGCGAGTGGTGAGCAGGTAAGAGGCAGTGAGAAAGGCTCTGTCTTTTACTGATCTACGGAAGGCTAAAGCCGCCTGCTTCTGGGCCCCCATGGCCAACGTGCCAGTCGGGTGGTGGTGCCTCCAAGGACCAGGAGGAAGCCCCGCTCTGCGATCCGTACGGGCAGCTCCGGGGAACCGGGGACAGCGGCGAGGCGGTGGCGCAGTTCCCAGCCCGCGCCCGCGTCCTCCTGCCTCCATACCATCGGCCACCGCCTCCGCGGCCTCCCTCAGTCCTCCCGTATCCCTGCATTCCACGTTGCGGCAGCCGCAGCCTCACCGGCCGAGCCGTCCCCACCCTCCCCTCGGGGCGATGCAGCGCCCACGCCCCCGGCCCTCGCCCGCACCCCCTCCAAGGCCTGGGCTCGGCTCTGGGCGACCGCAGGACCGGACCCCGCCGC